GCCAAGTCCCAGATGCCCCTTGCTGTGGACCTGGGAGGACTCCTCTCTGTGGGGAGCCCCAATCAGACGTGTCTTGGCTGCAGGGCCCAGGCAGCTGGCCAAGAAGGGCCGGAAATGCTCCAAATACTCTCCTTCCTCCAATAGCTAAGGGGAGGGAGGCCCCTGAGAGAGGCCATTTTACAATGATAGCCAGACTAAATCCTTTGCTATGGGGGGATGGGAAATGGGGAAGGAAGTACTTCTGAGGGAACCAAGAAAGCATCCTTCTACGTGAATGGGCTTGTTAAAATCCAATTGCCTGAGAGCTTGCCTTCTGCCGGCTCCCAGGCGGATGTGTGAGGAGTTCCTTCGCTGGAACGCGAAGCTGTGTTGTTGGCAACAGTGATATCTGAACCTGACCTTCAGAAGAAGGTTAAAAATAGTGTTGTCCTGGCAAAGCCAGTCTCCGTGTGTGTGTTGGGGGTGGGGTGTTGCACGTGCGCGGCAGACCTGTACACGCACAAGCTTCTGCGTGATGGAAGCAAATATCGTCCTCATCTAGTGCTTCTTGGGGGCAGCAGTGGTCACCAAAGGTGAGAGGGCACTGTTCATCTCAGGTGGAACTGCCTCACCTGCTTTCCTGTTCTTGAAGAATATCAACCATGGTGTTTGCAAGCTGGAGAGCAACTTTCCTAGTGGGTTTAGAAGTAGGTGTAGGGGTTGTTTTGACTTTTTGAAACCTGCTCATGATCGGAGTTCCTTTGACACCTTCCTCACATTTCCCAGGGGTGGGAGGGCCCCCAATGTCCTGTTGCGGGGCTCCTGCAGTGAGGTCCAGTGTTGCTCAGTGGTGGTCATCGCCCCTTAGATAATTCAAACAAGCACAGCACTGAGCCTTAGAGTCCACACAGCAAGTATTGTTTCTCTCCATTCAGGAGAGGTCTTGGTGTTGTCCCAAGTCGTGGATGCAGAGACCAAGGCTCAAAGAGGCTGTGTGTGTCACAGTCAGTCACTGGCAGAGTCTGGCCCCCAGCCCAGGTGACCCTCAGAGCAAGGGGTACGTCCCGCGTCCCACCTTGTCTTCACCCCCTGGCTTGGTGGGAAGGCTTGCAGTAGTGAACTAGAGGTGAGGCCCGGCTTCCTTGTCCTCAGCCACCTGCTCACTTTCTTCTTAAGCCAGAGCTCCTGTCATTATGTCTGTGCTGCTCTCTGACACTGAGCCCAGTACCAGATGTTTGGAGCAGAGAGAGCAGGTGTGCCTCAGCAGCTGGCCAGGGGAGGAGGAGGGCTTCCACAGAGCGTGGAGAGCAGGAAGGGTGAAGGAGAGAGAGCAGCTGGTTATGGGGCTGCATGGCACCCATTGGAATCCTGCCTTCCCTGGATGGGAAACCGTGTGCAGCGAAATCCCCAAGGGCCTGTAAATCCTCTTGTGCCTGGTGTTCCTGTCTGCGAGGGGGGCCAGTGCTCCTCGCTGTCCCATGCGGAAGGGTTGGGGTGGCCGGCCCCTGGCTGTCAGGGACACAATACTGAGTGCTGGCTTAAAGGGGCCCTTTGAAAGGCTCTCTGACACAGGTTTCAGATCCCACTCTGATGAGTGTTCCCCCTCACCCTTAAACCCACTGAACAAAGCAGGTTTGGGGCCAAAGCTCCTGTCTCCAGCCCCTCCCCCTCTCCCTCCCCCATTGTCCTCTTGATTTCCCAGAGGTATCCGTCAGTCAGAGCAGGTGCAGGGCTGGGATGGGGGTGAAGCAAGCCCTGCAGTGGAATCCCAGAGCCTTGTACTGTTCACCCCTTACAACCTTTCACGGTCTGCCCAAGGGAGCAGCTAAGAAGGGGGCTGGGCCCCAGACTAATCCTTTACCATCCTAGCCTAGAGAGGAGTAGAACAAACCTTCTAAGAGACTGAGAGGGCCCCACCACCTCGCTGGTGTTGTAGGGATAAATACATGTGATACTCCTGAGCCCGTCAGTGTGAGGAGTGGGTAAGAACTCTGGCCCTGGGTTAAGGCAGATCTAGCTTCAAATCCTGCCTCTCCCTGTGTGATCTCTAGCGGTGTGACCTTTCTGCTTCAGTTTCCCTTCTGTAAAATGGGGAATTCGTGCCTACAGTTGGGTCTGTGCTAAGGATTAAATGAGGTAATGGTGTCAAGTGTTCTAACCCAGAGCTGGCACAGCATCTCAGTAAACATTCCCAGTAAACATGACTGAGGCCCAGAAAGACTAAGTGGCTTCCCGTAGGGGCTCAGCTCCTTCAGTGCCCACCTTCTGTCATTCCTTAAAGGATTCTTTTTTTTGTTTCTGCCTCTTCTGGGCTGTTGCACACCAGTGAAGGCTTCCACAGGTCCTGGCTCTGTACAGGTGACAGAGCCCTGGAGTTCTCAGAGTCATTCACTCCGCCAGTGACAGTCACTGAGCACCTGCTGTACACAGAGCCAGAGGCTGGGGAATGTACTCAGCCAAGGCCATTGGAGGCCCCATCAGGAGGCAGCCATGTTGAGGGGAGGCTGAAGAGGCTGTGATGGATTCTCAGAGACAGTGTTCATAAGGGCAAGGAGGACAGAGAGCCTGGAGAAGGATTGAGGGCAGTGGGGCCCCAACAGAGGGACATGTGGGGTATTGACCTTGCTGCCGTGGGCTTGGGGCACCCTCCACAGGCGCCACAGTTCTGTGCTCTGCTCAGAGCACCTGCCCCCAGGGTCAAGGCATTTGCAGTCTCTGGGGCCCAGGGGCTGCCTGGTTGCATTGTGTTTTTGAGAAGACCTTCATCCCCTGCTGAGTCCAAACCAAGCTGAGGAGCACCTACCCCCACCCCGCCAAGCTCTGTGTCTGAGACTGAAGTGCGTCTGCCTGTTGGGCCTCCCGCAGTGGGCACCAGCGAGGCCTCTCTGTGGCCCCAGCCAGCTGCCCCTTTCACCCCCCTGCCTCTCAGGATTACTTAGCCTTCACAGCGTCTGTCACTAAGATGCTGAGTGCGTTCTTGACGGCCTCTCTCCAGGAAAGGCCTGGGCTGTGGCCTTTTAAAAAAGGCTCCAGGCTTGGGTTAAGCCTCTGATTGTGGTTCTGCGTGAAGAAACCATAAACCAAAGGAAGAGTGATGGTTCAGCCTTGGTCTTGGAGCTTTGTGTCAGCGTCTGCCTGCGTGCCCAGGCTCGGAATTGAAGGTGAGCCATGAAGGCAGGTGGAGAAGCCATCCTTTGCCTCTGGTTGCTGCCTAGATTATTAAGAGTCAGGAAAAGTCCAAGGGGCCTCTCTCATCCTGCTTTTTAGGTGCTAGGCTCTGCTCTGAGGTGTGTCTCTTTGATACAGGGGCCTTGCCAGGGGGTAAGGGGGCCCCAGTACATCCTCTTCATTTGTGACAAAAGCCCCAGTCCCTGGAAATCTTGGTTCTTCCACCAGGGCCAAGAGCTCAAGAATGATACTGGGTTTGTCAGCTAACTGCTGGGGAGGCCTGGTCACTTACAGAAAGGATCCTGATGGTCATCCCAGTGTCAGCAGTGTCTGGCATCACCCAGGGAGGCAGAGAGCTCTGAAGCTCGGGGATGCCGGCCCGCACCTGCAGGAAGCCCTCTGCAGCTGTTGAGTCAGAGCTGAGGAGTTGGCCTGGGCGGCGCTGCCTGCCACTTGGCGGCCATTCCCTCACCCTTGGTCATGGCCAATAGAGTTTGGTTCTCTCTCCTCCACTCCAGGAGCACAGGCAGCCCGCACCTGGCTATTAAATGACCCTCTCCTCACCTCTTTGCAAGGGCCTCTGGGCTCTGAGGACTGAGCCCTGCCTTGATTCTGGATAGGTCCCACCACATTGTCTCCCCCTTCCCTTCCTAAAGGGAACAACTCAAGGCAAGTCGTCCTTAGTGCCACATTCTGTTTGCCTTTTTAACCCCCACAGTAACAGGTGTTTCCAGATTTATTTTCTATTTCCTGCACTGTTAGCCTGCGTTGTACGGCGAAGTGGGCGGGTTGAAACCTCAGGCCCCTCCGTCCCAGGCTGAGACCGTGGCTGGGGACCATTCGGGCCACAGTTGCGTGGCGCCACCTCCTGGCCACAGTCCCCATCGTTTCTCCCTACACTTGCTCCACAGTTGCCAGAACAGTTCCTGTAAAAGCAAAAGGCGCTTAAAGATACTCTGAAGTCCATTTCTGGTTGATCCCATAATGGCCATAGCTATTTGTATCAGTTTGGCTTTTCTGGGGCTGCCTCACCAAGCCTCCTATTCAAATGGCTTAGTATTTCCAAAGCCTGAATTACCAAGGTAGGAATGAGCCCCTACAGTCTAGAAGCTGGGCCATCGGTCTAGAACCCAACACCAGGTGTGTTTCCCCAGGGGTTGGTGTTCCTGTGGTGTACAGGTTAGGCCTCCTGCCTGTGAGGGGAGAGAAGAGGAAGGACAGCACTCTGGGGGAGTGGAGAGAGGCTGTAGCTTATTCCTTGGGGCTGCAGCTGTCTGTTTTCTCATCTGTTAGCTGCAGACTGGGCTGTTCTGCTGCTGCTGCTGCTGCTGCTGCTGCTGCTGCTGACCCGGCCTCTGGGGACACTGACCCGGAACAGCCCCACAGCCCCACACTTAGCCCCAAAAGGGTCTAAGTGTCTCCCTTGTCTGGAGCAGCTAGTTCTTCTGCAAAGAAGAGAACCAACTAGGGCTGGTCGGGGACTGGGGGGTTGGCCTTGGTAACTTTTACTGTTGAGGGGACCTTCAGCATGCTATCAGAGTGATGGGACCCCTGGATTCTGTACTTGGCCCCATCTTTGAGTGCCTCTGCCTGAGTGCCTGTCCCCTGCCATGGAAGGAAGACCAACTTCTCTGCATATCATTTCCCAAACCAGAGAGTAGTGATTCCTGCTGTTTCTGCTCTAGAGTGATGCTGGACTAAAACCGCACCCTCCACTGTGGACTGTACTTGGTGACCGGCCAGGCCCATGCTGTGGGCCCTGCTAGGGTTTACAGCTTGGAGGGAAGTGAGTACAGGGTGCTTGTGGCCACAGTGGTTCTGTAGCTAATGCCTCATCATTCCCTCTGCTCTAGGCCTGGTCTCCAAGTCCTCTCCTAAGAAACCTCGTGGACGGAACATCTTTAAGGCCTTTTTCTGCTGTTTTCGTGCCCAGCATGTTGGCCAGTCAAGCTCGTCCACTGAGCTCTCTGCATACAAGGAGGAAGCCAACACCATTGCTAAGGTAGCTAGAGGAGGGTGGTGAGGTGCCGGCAAGGAGGGGGCTACTGGTGGGGGCCCCTGCAACTGTGGCATGTGGGCAAGGTAATCTGCCCTGAAGTCTCAGAGATCTCTGGTTCAAAGGCCCCTGTCTGTCACTCCCAGACAGGCCGTCTCCTTTCTCTTGGCTCTCGTTGTGATACGGGCTGTGTGACTCTCCCTGTAGTTTCTGAGGGCCCCTGCACTCCAGACCCTTCCAGGTGCCAGGAACGTGCACGGCGTTTGGTGTATATTGTCTCATGTGATCCAGAAGTTCATCAGTATTCCCACTTACGCACCTGGAAACTGAGATCCAGAGGGTGTGTGTAGCCCCCGAAGAGTTATTAGCTTATAAATAGAGTTGGAGCTCCAAGCTCTGTGGCCATGTACCATACAAACCTTGTCCTCCAAGTTACTTGACTCCCTGGGAAGCAAGGAATTGGAATTCTGCCACACTCTCGATATCCTTTTCTAGCCCTCTCACCTGTCCTGGGGGGGATATTGGGAAATGTGTGGGTGTCTTTGAGCCTCACAAGGAGCAGAGGGTGTGTCTGGCATTTCAAGGATGGGGACAGCCCAGACCAAAACCCCATCTGCCCCCAATGCCACTTCTTTCAGGAACACCAAGGTCTAGCTGTTTTTCTCTCTCAAAACCAGGCTGAAGATATGTGCATCAGCGCGTTAGCCAATGGGGGAATTGGTAAATAAAGTGCAATGTGACAGTATTACTTAGCAATTGATTTTTACAAAGTTCACGATAACATGGAAAAGTATTGAGTTGCAACACTAAGTTGAAAAGCAGAATGTGAAATTACATATTATGGGGGGGAAACTGCTAAAACAGACTTGAAAGAAATACACTAAAATGCCAACGTTAAGATTTTCATTTTTCTTCAGGGTTTCTATTAAGAACACATATCACTTTTTACAACCCTAACATTTTTATTACTGGCAGAAGGCCGGGGAAGCTTTCTGACCTCTCTATACTCCACTTCCCTTCATGTTTTAGGACTCATAGTGTAGGTTCACATTGGCATACCTGATGTTTTATAGGGGCTCTGCTGCCCTCCCCACACGGTATACCCCAACCACCCACTCACAACAGAGTGTCTAGAAAACACACCACAGTGAGGAGTTCCGATTTGGGTTCTGCCTCTGATTCCATGTCCCGACATCAGCAACTGGAGTTCCTGCTACTCAGTTTGTCCAATGGAGAGGCAGTGGCAGCTGAGAACAGAGATACTGCCTTCTCCGTCCTTCATCAAATCTGATGTCGAAAGGCAGCTCTGGCCTTTCCCCTTTCCTGTCCAGCTCTTAGGAAAAGTCACTTTTGGGGCTCCTGGCTGGCTCAGTAGAGCATGAGACACTTAATCTCAGGGTCATGAGTTCAAGCCCCACATTGGGTTTAGAGCTTACTTTAAAAAAAAGTCACTGTTTTGGGGCGCCTGGGTGGCTCAGTGGATTAAGGCCTCTGCCTTTGGCTCAGGTCATGATCCCGGGGTCCTGAAATCGAGTCCCGCATCGGGCTCTCTGCTCAGCAGGGAGCCTGCTTCCTCCTCTCTCTCTGCCTGCCTCTCTGCCTACTTGTATTTTCTGTCTGTCAAATAAATAAATAAATAAATAAAATCTTTAAAAAAAAAACAAAAAAAGTCACTGTTTTATGTCAGAACCTTCCCGGGGGCTGGGGTTTTGCTACAAAAATGACCCTCTGGGCCTGAGGCAGAAGCAGTGGGCTTGAGCTGGGATGGCGTTGGCTGGTGGGCACTGACTGCCTCCTTTTCCCCCACAGTCGGATCTGCTGCACTGTCTCCAGTACCAGTTTTATCAGGTAGGTGAATCGGATAGGGTACATGTTCAGAAGCCCCAGACCTGTGTTCACATCGGGTGACACCCTCGTTCCTCAGTGCCTGGCTGGTGCCACTGCCTGTGGAAGCCATTTGTCCCAGAGATTTGCTGAGGGCCCACTTGGTACAAGGTGTTAGGTTATGAGGGGATAGCTGACCTCCATCCCACACCAGCCCTGGCCTGCATCTCAGTGTCCAGATCATTTCATAGTCCAGTGGGAGGCTGGAGCTGAGGAGCCAACTCTCTCTCTCTATCTCTTGGCCTTCAAAGGGCACCTCTTCTGGGTTGAAGTTGAGGGTCTTCTATGTCTTGCGATGACTCCAGTACTTCTCAGAATTCTGCTGAGGAGAACTCTTGGGCTTTCTTGGTGGCAGACCTCAGCAATCTGGCTCTGGTTTCAGATCCCGGGGACCTGTCTGCTCCCAGAGGTGACAGAGGAAGATCAAGGAAGGATCTGCGTGGTCATTGACTTGGATGAAACACTTGTGCATAGCTCCTTTAAGGTAGTTCCCCATCTGGAGTTCTTCCTACACGCCACTCCGGCTGTCATGTGTGCCTGACTGCAGGTGCTAAGGGCAGCCTAAAGCTGAGGGCAGGCTGGGGGCCTCTGGCATTTTGGCCATATTGGCATCACAGGTGCTCAGAGGCCACACTGAAGAATGTGGAGTAGGAATCCCTGCTCCCCCCGGTCACTGCCCACAGTCTTCATCTGCCCCTAGTCACATAGCCCGGAATCCCACCAGGGCTCTGGACAGGACAGGCCTGTGAGAGGGTTGGATTCAGCCCAGGACCTGGCCTCCCTCCATTCCCTCAGGTAGTCTGTTAACTCAGGCACTGAAGCCGTCTCAGCTCAGGTAGAATTGGGGGTGGCGGTAAGTAGGGAAAACTAGGAGAGGCTATTGTGCCCATTAATGGGGTGTTGGGAGCAGCTTCCTGGAGTGTCTGCACTCCATCTCTCCCCAGCTCTCCCATGGGATAGTGCAGCAGCTGTGGCAGAGGTTTCTTGTCTCCTTCCCATTGTGCTGACCTCATTAACTTTTCTGCCTTCCAGCCAATCAACAACGCCGACTTCATAGTGCCTGTAGAGATTGAGGGGACCACTCACCAGGTGAGCTGCCTGCCAGGCCGCAGCCGGCCCAGAGGCCTCAGGCTCCTCCGCCCTCTGGTGCGCACCATCACGGGGCCCTCTCCTGCAACTTCAGCACCTCCTTTCTTGCTATCTCTTGCACTCTGGGCTTTCTGATCTTCGAAACGGTTCAGCCTCTCATCACCCTCTAGCTGTCAGCGTTTTTTGCTTTGCAGCCAAGCTGTTTAAAATTACATATTTCTCAATATGAGTAATAGGTGCCATTTACTGAACACCATCTCCAAGCCAAGGTAGCCAGTGCTGTTAAGTGGCGTCTTCTCTAATCCGGAATGCTGGTTGTCTGCCCGTTACAGGCAAGGAAGCCAGGGCTCTCCCTTTTATCTCCTCCCCGTGCCCACTGACTCCCGTCTAGCAAGTGGATTTCTTCCTCCCTGCCCCGGCATCTCTCGTCCTCCATGAAGTGTCTCCACCTCCCCTTCCCTGAGGTCCCCACCCTGGATTCCGCCCCAGTAAATGCTGTCAGAGAGCACTTAAATCCAAGTAAGCCCAGCCTCTGGCCCTGCATAACCTGCTCAGTCCGGGCTCGTGCAGTGTTGGTAGTGAAAAAGCAGTTACTCTGAACGCTTGCCCAGAAGGCCTGCCAGCCGGCCTGAGAGGCGGAACCATCAGGAACAAGGCCTTGTTAGCCCTGAAACTGTCCATATGGCCTGGTGGGATAGAAGACTTACCTGAGGCTTCCCTGGGGAGTCACCACTGTCCTGTGTCCCTTCGAAGCTTTCGTCCCCAACACCACCGGCCCTTCCATCTGAGGTGGCATCAGGCCCAGCACAGCCCCTGCTCGGACCCAGGGATGGCCCTGGACTGCCCAGCGTCTGCCCAGCTGAGCTTTACATCCATCTGAGGTCATGGAGATGCAGAGAACCTGCAGAGAGAAGAAGAAGGCATATTTTCAGACAGGCAGATCCGCACAGTGAACTCTTGATTGACAGGGAGAACCCTGCCTCATGAGGAAGGGCTGAGACTAAAATTGGGCGGCTACCTACAGAAAGCGGGTTTTCAGCAGAGAGCAGGGAGGGGATGCCAAGCTGGATGAACAGCCAGGAAGAGGGAGGGACCTGTTCGAGGTTGAAGAAGTGGCACGTGCAAGGGAGCCAAGCTGTGGCTCCTCAGAGCAGAGGGGTCCTGCTGCAGCGCCCCCGGGGGTCTGGTGAGTTGGTGGCCAGTTCAGGCTACCGCCAAGTAGGGAGAGGCGTGGCAGGCCCGTGCCGGTTGAGCAAGGAGTGACATGGATAACAAGCTTCGAAGGAATGCTTCTTGTAACATCGAGGCTGGCTGAGAGGGGGAGATCCTGGAGGCGGGGAGGCAGATGCGGAGTGGTGAGGGACATGTAGTTGACGGACCTTTGAGGCCAAAATGTGCAAGACTGTGAGAGGTGGACATGAGAGTGAGGGGTGGCCGGCTGGACCAGGCGCAAACGGTGGGGCACGAGAGCAGGACATGCAGGGTATCTGACCCACAGTCCCTGAGGAGAAAGAGTCACTTCTCCCCGGCACATTCCCAAGAACTGTGTCACAGAGGTTTCACGAGTGTCTGCAACCTTGCCTGATGGTGACCTGGACACTGTCCCGCCAGAGCCAAGGACAGGAAGCTCCCACAGAGGCTGTGGCTGGATTCAAGTAATCCAGGATAGGCTGTTTCCGTCTGTGAGGCCTATTCTTGATTACTTGTTTCTGGAGGCAGCTGATGGTTCGCCGGCTGAAACCGAGATGGCTTCTGGGACATAGGCTTCTGCGTTTTTGCCTTAGCAGGGTCATGGGTGGGCCACCAACCCCACAGAAGCCTTGTGAGGAGGGGGTAGCAGTGTCCCAGTCTGTGGGGCAGAAGGTTTCCAGGGTGTAGGGGCCAACAGAGTGAGGTGTGACCCTGTTGGCCACTCTTTGTGGAAGTGGGGACAGTGACCCATGCTGCATGCTTCCCCCACAACGGGGATGCCTCCAACAGGCCTCTCTGCTTTTCCTCAGGTTTATGTGCTCAAGAGGCCTTACGTGGATGAGTTCCTGAGACGAATGGGAGAACTCTTTGAATGTGTGCTCTTCACTGCCAGCCTAGCCAAGGTACCTGGGGGTGGGGCGGGAGGAGGAAGCAAGAGCACCCGTAGTGGCTGCATGGGGTGGGGGGGCGTCCAGCAGTTCCCTGCTGGTCTGCGGGCAGCCCCAAGGGGAGCCAGGACTGCACCTGGACAAAAGCATCTTCTCTGTTGCTAGTATGCCGACCCCGTGACCGATCTGCTGGACCGGTGTGGCGTGTTCCGGGCCCGCCTGTTCCGGGAGTCCTGCGTGTTCCACCAGGGTTGCTATGTCAAGGACCTCAGCCGCCTGGGAAGGGACCTGAGGAAAACCCTCATTCTAGACAACTCGCCCGCCTCTTACATCTTCCACCCGGAGAATGCGGTGAGTGGTCTGGACACACCCACACTGCAGGGACTCGGGAGCCTCTACCCCAGTGCGAGGGAGGGGCAGGGCAGTGGAAACCTGGGCTTTTCCAGAGGAGCGTACCACCCAGCTGCTCCCAGCCAGCCTCCTGGGGCTGGGGCCAGGGAGGGAAGAACTGGCGGTCAGGAGACTAATGCTGCCTTTTCCCCATCCCAGGTGCCCGTGCAGTCTTGGTTTGATGACATGGCAGATACTGAGCTGCTGAACCTGATCCCGATCTTTGAGGAATTGAGCGGAGCAGAGGATGTCTACACCAGCCTTGGGCAGCTGCGGGCCCCTTAGCCTTCCCTGCTTCCAAACAGTGGCCATCCCAGTAGGGGACTTTCCTACACTGTGCCTTTATGATCAGCCTGATGGAGCAGAAGCTGAAGCATCTCACCAAGTGGGGCCTGGAGGAGAAGTGACTGGAAAGGGCTTTAGGACAGGATAGGTGCCAAGTGGGCACGTAGCAGACTGACGACTCCCAGAGCTGCCTGCTCCCTGAGTTGGGTTCCCAAATGTGAGTGTGTGTGTGTCTCTGTGTGTGTCTGTGTCTCTGTGTGTGTCTGTGTCTATGTGTCTTTGTGTCTCACCCTATGTGTTCAGGTTGAGGGAAAAACTGAAAGATCAAGACTCTCCAAGTTAGTCTGCCTCCTCTCCAGTCACCCTGAGAGCCCCCGCACTCGGTCGGGATGAAGACTGTTGAAGGCTCTGTTGCCAAACTCATGGCCTTTCCTTGGTGTTAAAAGGCTCATGCCAAGGAGAAAGGGCGAACCAGAGGCTGCCTTCAGGTATCCCAGGCACACGCCTTTCTGATACTTTTCTCCAGCCAGCAACTGCAGACAGAATGACAACATTTCTGGAAAGAAAAGCTTGTTTCCAGAACCAGTAGCCCCAGCATCCATCAAGTCCTGTGGTCTGAGGGCTGCACATGCCTCTAGCCAAGTGCCTGGCATGGACCCTTTCTGTGTCTCCCCAAGGCTTGGGTGCTGGGCCTGCCTGCCTTATCACCTAGCCATAGTCTTGAACCTTTGGGAAAGGAGGTCTTCTCCCTGGCCTGAAGAGGACAAATAATGTTTCCGTTCTTTTGACTCTCTTTTAAAATTCTCTTTCTAAACACAGGAGTGTTGGGCCTGTTTTGTTTCTGACAAAGCTGCAGTCCTGGGCCTGAGATGAATGTGGGAGGCTCTGGGGGTGCAGGGAGGAGGAAAACCCCCAAACCATGAATGTGTGTGTCCCCTTGGCTTGTAGATCAGCTGAGCATGGGACCATGTCCCTAAGTCTGCTCTTCAGGGATTCTCTGCTGGTGCTGGTGTGAGGACTTCTGTTCCAAAGTCCGGGAGGGGCGCTTGGAGCCTATGCCCGCCCTGCTTCTGGGGCAGGGCTGTTTCCTGTTGTCTTCCCCCAGGGCCTGGCCTATGCCTCTCACTCTGCTTCTGTCTAGTCCCTCCTGCGCTGTTGCTTTTTTGCTCCAGGGCCTCAGAAGCGCTCCTGCTTTCCCTGGCTGAGGAGAGGGGCTTTCTCTTCATTTCCTTTGCCACCCTAATGCACATGCCTCCTGCCTCCCGTGACAGGTGTGAGCGAGCCCTTTACACACCTGAGCTTTGTGTGTCTCTCGCTTTCCGAGTTTCTTAGTAGCGAATGCTTTTAAAAATTGCCACAAAATGGAGGTTTCCTGAGGATGGAGAAGGGGAAGTGCTGCTGTAATTGGGAGCACAAGGACATCCCAAAAGGGAGCCCCACCCCAGGATCACTGCCTTAATTATGGCCTCCCCTGGGGCTGGCTGGGGTTGTCTCCTCTTCTCCCTTCCTCCTTCCCTCCCTCCCTCCTCCTGGGGCAGGAGGCAGTTCCTCTCCCCATCTCTGCTTTCCCTGGAGGCAGGGGGTCACAAAGCATTTGAGGATATCCCCCTCTCAGGACTCTTCCCTGTTATCCTTTTCAATGTCCACACACTGGGTTCAGCCTGAGGAATTGGCCAGTTTTTGAGCCAACCAGGTGGTGGAGCAGCAGCTTGGTGTTCTGAGAGGTAGCGGGCTGACTGGCATCATTCTCTAAGCATTTGGTATCGGCTCCCCTCCTTGTCCCAAGGTTGTATGGCCATGTCTTTCCCACTGGTGTCACAGAAGTGGAACAGAGTCCCTGGTGACGCGTGGTCATTTCCCCCAGTACCATTCCCCAGTGCCCTTGGGGTCCTACAGGTAAAGGAAGAGGGGTCCGGTGCTAGCCAGGAACGAGACCTCCTGAGGGGAAATGGGACTTTCTGATTCTAAGGCCGTCTCTGGGCCTTTATCCTAATACTGTGGAAGGAGCCTCTCTCCCAGGCCCCGCCCTGAGGTTTAGCCTCTGGGCCAAATCTGTGGGGGGGGGGGGGGGGGGGTGCAGCCAAACTTTTCTGACTAAATAAGCAATAAGCAGCTCTAAGTTGATCCAGTTTTAGGACCCTTTCTGCCCTCTTTTGGGTCTCCCATGTTTTTCCCAGTGAGGGAAGAGCCTGTGCCCCTCCCCCCCCTTTCCTATCAGGCTCATCCAAATGCTCCAAGTGTGACTCATGATTACAGCCCAGGATATCTTGGTGAGGGGTGTGCCTGCCGCTTCTGCATGAAACCCCTGCTCTCTAGGCCTTGTTCCCGTAAGAGCCCTTTCCTGCCCACCTGCAGGTCCTCAGCAGGAATATCCTATTCCCTCTTTCCCCCTTCTCCTGCTACTGGCAGAGAAGGAACTCGGCCAAATAAACCTAAACAGGGTCCATCCATATGGACCAGAGCCAGCCTGAAGTCATTATTTACTGTCTGGTTTCCAGTGTCACAGTGTGTTAGGGGCGAATGATGATTGCCAAACGCTCCTCTGAGGGATCAGCCAGACTCTGTGTGGGAGAAGGGCAAGATTGGGAGGGAAGCGGTTCAGCTCAGAATCTGTTCTGGGGCTTCCCGTCAGCCCTTCCCGTTGGAGGCTGTCCTCAAGAGGCAGTAGGCCACTGTGCCTGGTCAGCCCCAACTCGAGCCATACCCAGAATCTGCCCACCTGCCAGCTTCAGTTCTTCAAGGTGCCTCTTCAGGGACACTGTGTGTGTGTGTCTCTCTGATTGGGCTTCTAAATCAAAAGCCTGATGTTCGTGTCCCTCTCATAGGGGGAGCTTTGGACACAGGACCAGTTTGGAAACAGTCCAGGGAAGAGTTTCCACTCTGCACATTGTAGAGGGGATGCTCTGTAGGCCCGTGGGTCCTTTCCTCTAGAGAGGTTGAGTAAATTTGCCTTCAGTTAACCCGGGACCTTCTGTTTAGTTCCCTCCTGCCTCCCAAAGATTTTGACCATTTTGTTAAGTGTTTCAGCTCACCTCTGTGAACAGTGGCCAAGAAGCATCTTTGTGCTAAAAGCGTGGGAAGTCTATAAAGGCAGTTGTTCCCTGGGAGACAGATCCTCTTCAGATCTGCTGCCCCTGCCCTGTTCTTGAGGCCTCCTTCAGGAGGGCAGCCCCCCATATAGGGCTGTCCTAAATCCCATGTGCCAGCCAGGCCAAGTGTCTGTGGAAGGTAAGCCCTTTTTTCCCCTTCAGGTCTTCTGTTGGTTACCATTGCTATTCCTCAATCACTTTTTGTAAAATGGGGTTAGTTTTGGTCTTTTTTTTTTTTTTAATGCCAATAAATACTTGCATTCAAGCAGAGGAGGGAAGGCAGGGGGGTGACCTGCTGTCCTACGCCCTGCTCTAGGTCCTGCCCCTGGAGCAGACCCTCCTCTTTGGGCCCCATGAGCTTCGCTTATCGTTCTCCCAAGTTCAACACATTCCACGTCCTGCTGCTTTCCCCCTCAAGATGCCATGTGGAGGGCAGAGGATCTGCTTCCCACTGTGACTGGGCTATGGGACTCTGACTACCTTGCTTACATATTCATGGTTTGATAAATTTGTTGTATTCAAAACTTGAAATGTATAACGCCATTAAGTGTTTATATTTTTGGAATATTTGTATTACTTACAATTAATTAATAAAAGCGGGTTTTAAAAACCCATCCAGAAATGGGAGCTGCTTCCTGTCCCTGCTGTTGTTCATTTGGGCAGTCACCAGCACATGCTTCTTCCCTTGCCATCCCTGGCATCAGATAGAGTTGGTGCCCCCAGACTGGGCGAGCCGTTGCCTCCGGCTGGGGACCAGCCATGCACTCAGGACCGCAGTGCTGCTCTGCTCAAGGTTACAGAAGTTGGACTCTCTTTCTGGCCCTCGTTTGGAACCAATTCCGTTGCCATCCAGGTGCTTAATAAGCATACACTTAGTGTCCTATTGACTTCTGGGGGATGAACCAGAAGCCCTGAGAGACTTCATTCTCCCAAACTGGGATCCCCAGAACTGAGAGCCTGTCAGGGTTCTTGGCACATAGTAGGCAAGATTTTGACTAGTCAGATTTTGACTGGACTGCTATATGGACCCCAAGGAAACCCTCAGGAGCAAAACAGGATGACACACTCCTGGCCACTCTCCTGGACTTCCCTCCCTCTGAAAAATGCCCAGAAGCTTCTCAAGGAGGCACTTGCTGGCCTAGACATCCCAGGCACTCAGGGGCAGCTCCGGCCCCTACCTCCTGTCATCAGCATAATGCATCCATATCTATAATATGGCAAATTTCATATCCTCCCACCCTCTTTCCTGCATTATTGATGGGCTATGCACTTTAAAAAAAAAAAATCAATTAGATCAGGGCGTGGAGCTGGAGTCAAAAGAGAAAAGAAGCCTTTAAAGGTTCGCTCTTCTTGTTTCTGCTGTTTTGAATAGGAGCAGATAAAGCTTCCCCTCTGGTTTGAATAAGTCAAGCCCAGGGCTAGGTTGGCTGTGATTGGCCAGGACTGGGAAAATGAGGTTAAGATGCAAACACAAGCAAATATAACCCCCATGACTGCGAAGCCATTACTAAGCTAAGGCAGCGGGACCTGGCGCCTCCCCACTTGGGGTGGTTCTCTGGTAGCTGCTGCTGCTCGCTGGAAAACAACTCGGAAGGCCCTGCGGGAGCGAAGGCAAGGTACGGTGGGCTTAGTGGATGGGTGTGCATTAGTAGAGCAATTCTACTGAAGGAGGAAGAAAGGAAGAGGAGATTGAAATTTCTGTGCCTTTGTCTTCTTGGATGATACTTTTTAAGGGTTAAACCAGGAGTTTGTAACTAGTTTTGCAAACTTCCTGCTGAGCATTTAAGGCCCTTTTTAGAAACCACTGAGCAGATAGGGCACTTTTTCAAAAGCTGGGAAATAAGGAGACGGCCCCATTCACCTAGCTCAGAAAGATGGTGTGGGCTAAGATAGAACCAGCTTCCTCTGCTTGGGGTCCATTCCCAGAGCTGTGTATAAGAATTGAGGGCCACTGGCTTTTAGCCTTGGATTTCAGAACCCCACCCCACACCACCCCAAGGGTTTCTGGAGTGCTGGGGAATTAAATAAGGACTTGGGGAAGAGGGAGAGAGAAACAGCTTGGGGGACTTCAGTGTCACAAATGGAGTCACATTTTCCGGTGTTCCACTGAGGCAGGAAGTGCCGCCTTGGAGCGTGTCCTCTCCTTGGGGTGGGGGGGGGGCGCTTTGGCCCAGTGAGCTCCTTTCCGATCCATCACTTAAGCCCCTGCAGGGAAATGGGACTGCTTTTGGCCTCGGAGAGTCACAGCCCTCATTAATGCCAGCCGGTTGGGTTTTTTCCCAGGTTGAAACTTCTCGATTTTCAAGAAATGAATTCATTGGCCCTTGTCCCCTTCCCCTAGTTGGGTCACAGCATTTGCCTTTAATGAATGAAATCTAGGGTCTGAGGAAAACCTGAACAAATATTTCCTGGCAGTTGGGAGCTGCACGGGGGAGGGTGGGGCAGCACAAGTTATCAAATTAAATCCTCAAACATTGGCTGCTCAGAGTCACTGCCCTGCTTTAGCCTTGTTATGGTGGAACACAAAGGGAGTCTGGTTTTTTGTGTTTTGCCAAAGTCCATGCTAGATGATGGCACAAACTCTCCAGACCCGACTTCATCCACCAGGGCTCAAGGATCAATGGCCAGACAGGCTTCTCTTAAAAGCGCATTATGCCTCTGGATAGCAAAACTTGGTGCAGCCCTTTCTGGGTGGGTCGTGTTTTGGGTTTTGTGTTTGCTTATTTACTTTATGTAAATCCACTAAGCACATCTTTTTTCCTATGCCTCTTGAGAGCCTTCATCAGTTATAGGTATTACCAGAATGCAAGCTTCTTGAGAGCAAGAACCAGGCAGGCATTTTGATGATACAAAGCCGTTCCACGAGCATGAATGTGTAGAAGTCCTTGCTAATCCTAGACACGGCTTGAACACAGATGGTGCCCCATCCTCCCGCACTTCTCTCCACTTCCTCCCTCTCCCCACCCTGCCTTGTAGGCGGCCATGGCCACCACCAGCTCCTGCAGGTCTGTGTGGGAGGGGACCCAGGGGGCGCCCCAAACTCGGTCCCACACCCCACTCAGCCATGTTATTTTCCCTCTTCTGCGAGGCACAGGGAATGTATTTGTCAGAGGACAAAAGCAAGATGGGCTGTTTGACTTTTAGGACAGTTTCCTTAAAAGAGAAAGTCTGGAAAGTAAAAGCCTAAAGAGGAAATCAAAGAGTTGACAGCAGACCTGGTAAGTGACGACCCTGGGCAGAGCTGGACTGGACGAATGAGAGAAGGCAGCCCCGCTTGGAGATACCCTGATACAAGCTTTTCTTCCCGCGTGCTACTGCAGACAGACAAGTTTAGGAAGGGTTACACAACTTCAAAGTGAATAAAAGCGCAGGTTTTAGGGCCAGATACAGATTTTACTCTAGTGTGTGACATCAGGCAAATTATTTAACCTCTCTAAACCTCAACTAGCCTATGATGTAAGCTGAAAATCTACTCAGTTTACAAGAATTAAATGACATAACATAAAGTGAACTCGCACAGTAGATAACCATGGCTTTTACCAGAGCTCTTGACAAGGGAAGTGGTAAGGGGGAAGCCGACCTTCTTTCTGGGAGGGGAGCCCCCCAGTGCAGCCAGGCTTACCGTGGGAACTTGGACAAGTCATTTCCCCCACTGCCGTGAAACGGTGCAGGGTGTCCCACAAAGACGTGGCAGGATGACTGACAAGAGACTAGGAAATGACTTAGGGGAAAAGCTGGAGGGACGCCTGCTGCAAGAGGCATCATCCTCCCCCCCCCTCCCCCCCGCCCCGTGATGTTGCAGTCCTGGAAAGACGCGCGCCATGTCTCTGAGCAGCGCCTTCAGGGCTGTGGGCAACGAGCCTGGGATCATCACCTGGAGAATAGAGGTGAGCTGGGCTGCAGGCACACTTTCCTGCTCACACAGGATCTGGGTGGGGGTGGTCTCTGGTCACCCCAGTCTGCTAAACGACAGCCCTGGTACTCCCTCAGTCTCCTGCCTTTGGAAACAGCAACGGGGCAACATCAGAGTCAACTTTTCCTATCCTTGACCCCTCCTGGGTGCTTGAAGCAGGTGGTGACAGGTGGAGGAAATGCTTTTAGCCCTGGAAAGCAGGGCTCCAAGCAAAATAAAGCTTGCCCTTTATTCTGCCATCTGCTTAGTGAGTCTGCACTTCAGTAAATGCCCTAGAGAAATGGGTGGGGCCTGGGCTCACCCAGGAGACCGAAGACTCCTGGCTGTTTCTGTCAAAAAAAGGGAACCTGTCTTTCACAGGGTACCGTGGCTCCTGCCAAGTGTTAGTGGGGCAGGGAGAGGGGGGGCACGGAGGTTCCTGCGTAGATCAGAGTGCCGCTCATCACTTCCCCCACCTGGGCTTGAGCTCCTCCGGCTGACCTCGAGTTCCAGCAATCTATCTGGGAACAGCCCTAGCCTGGGCAACTCCACCTGTCGGATGTAAGAAACACCCCTCCCAGCATCCCTCCTCCCTGCTCTGAGGCCAGGGAGGGGTGGCTGCCTAAAACCCAGAGCCCTTAAGGCTCCCTGTTTATTTCAAAATAGGAACTAAAAGTTACTTATGGTATATTTAACATTGTTACCTTTAACACACGTGTAGAATATACATACGCAAGTATGACTACAGGTGTCTGTCACTTGGAGAGAGTGATGAATATCCCTGAGGCCATGTGAATGACTCTCCTGAGACAAGCCATATGTGCAAGGGACACATCAAGTCCTCACCCCCAGACTCCAATGCGGAATGCTGGGTGTGGAGCCCCACACACCACTGGCACTCACCTCTCCTAGCCCCCCAGAACCCCCACGTTCCATTCACAGCCATAACCCTTGCCCAGCTCTGGGAGGTCAGGGTTGGAGAACTGTGTTGGAGACACTGGTGCAGCTGCTCAGAGTGGGATTTGACACAGCTCTTCTCCCTGCAAAGGGCTGGAGGGGCTCACAAGGCTCCTCCCAGTATAGTGAGAGCAAGCAGGTGGTGGGGAGGGGGGTAGGGTGAAGACAGGGACCCAGATTCAGCCCCGGGGGCCACGCAGGCAGAGCTCAGCAGAAGCTAGAGGGGTGGGCCCGCTAATCCTGTGGCTGGCCACCATGCCCCATAGGATCAGCAGGGACATCTTCCCTACTTCTCCCCAGCCACCTGTGCCAAATGATGGACAGGGAGGCTTGGGGGTGGGCAGTGGACTGTACGCAGCCCTTGTCCTTCCAGAAACTGGAGCTGGCGCTAGTACCCCTGAGTGCCCACGGCAACTTCTATGAGGGGGACTGCTACGTCATCCTATCGGTGAGCCCCCCCACCTCTGGTTCCCATGAGCTTCTCCCCTGAGAGCCATTCCTGGGTTCCACCGAGGCCTGTTGCTGGTGCTAATCCGTTTCCTGGTATCGCTCTTGACTCTCCCTTGGTGTCGTACAGAACAAGCCCCCAGTTTGACTACCAAAGGCCATTCTTAGGGCATGGGGCCCTTGGTCTATACCTCAGGGAGGACTCGGCAAGCAGCACCTCTCCCTCCTGGGGCCCAGCCCCCAGGGTAACATGGTACGGAGGCAGGCCAGGTAAATCCAAGGCCACGCCTCCAAGTGCTCATGCTAGTAGAGGGAACAGTATCACCCAGGAAAGGTGCCGACAGAGCCAGGCAGAGGGACAGCTCGGCTCTGTGTCAGCACGGCAGTGCAGGGCGTGAAGGGCCAGCAAGGCCTGTCTGTGGCTTAGCTTGGAAAAGATCCCCATGGGTCTCCATGTAGTCGGAGAACAGTATGCTGTCAACTCTCGCCAAATGCGGGAGGACATCTGGGCCCTGCCCGTGCTTGAGCCACATACCAGGTCTGGACAGGGGTGCTGCAGAGAGGGAGAGAGACCCAGAGCCTGCCTGCGGTGGGCCACGAGCCACCATGGCTGTGTTCTTCCCACACCCGGGGGCCAGCGGCAGAGCAGGCGCTGGGTGAGCTGGCCCCTGACCTCATCTCTCTGGACACCCCAGACACGGAGGGTGGGCAGCCTCCTGTCCCAGGACATCCACTTCTGGATCGGGAAGGACTCCTCCCAGGACGAGCAGGCCTGCGCAGCCATCTACACCACGCAGCTGGATGACTACCTGGGAGGCAGCCCCGTGCAGCACCGAGAGGTCCAGGACCATGAGTCTGACACCTTCCATGGCTACTTCAAGCAGGGCATCATGTGAGTAGTTCCACCAGAGCCCGGACATAAATGGCAGTTTACTAAAGAGGAAACAAAAAAGGCTAATCGGTATATGAAGAAAAGAGAAACACAGATCGAAACAAAGCTATCGCTTCCACCTAGATCAGAGCAGGGCAGACTAGAGGGCAGGGCGGAGGCCAGGAGCGGCAAGGCTGTGGGGAAAGAGGAGCCTGAGTACCCCTCAGGGCAGCGGGGGTGGGAGGGTGGAGGATGAGCACGGCACACTGTAGGGCAGTCTGCTGTCACTAAGGCCAGTCCCCCTCCGGGGTGTATAACTCAGGGGACCTCTCATGCACCCAGCTCCACAAGGGCTCATGAGCCACAATGTTCACAGCGGTGTCAGGACTGGTTGTGTGAAGCCGTAGGCACCATAAGGGCTCCTCACGGGGAGACAGGATGGGGAAAAGTACTGCATGGGTCCGGGCAGCAATGGGAGGCCGTGGAGCAGATGCCCCGCTGAGTAGTGGACAGCCCTTAAAAACATGGTACTTGGTGACCAAAGTAAGAAACGGGCCTGAAATATATAACAGTGCCAACTTCTGTTTTAAAAAAATACACACCCACAAAACAACAGGAAACATTTACCCGAATGAAAATAAAAAGGCAGTTGTTCTATGGTTGGAGGGGGTGCCTGTGGTGGGGAGAGGAATGGCGGAGCATACGCAGAGAAGAGGGAATGCATAAATAATGAAAACAGGAGAGGGGTCTTGGAAAGGACAGTGATAATGTTCCACGAACTGAGGGGTTTAACGCCAAACTTTGCACGTGAGATTGAAAACAAAAAGGAATTCCAAGGAGCTGGAGAGATCTGAGGCTGGTCCAAGGCGCTTCTTGCCGGTTGGCAGTCTTACTGACTGAGGACCTGCTGGGCACAGCATGCCCCATGAGTCACCAGAGAGCCCACAGACCAATGTCCCACTGGATTTCGGCTCGTCCTGCAGGTGCAGGACATTTGGGATGGAGGCAGGGTTGGGGGAAAGTTGGGGGCCAGGAGGTCGGACTCCCCGAGCGGGTTTGTCTTAAGGCCATAGTGTCATGACTGCTTCCTTGTGCCCCTCTCCTTGTCCCATGCTGAGATTCAGACAGTTGCTAGAACCAACAAAGCTCATGCTATGGGGTCCTCACCGCATAGTCCTGGAACACTAGTCCTCCTAATACATCAGCTTGAATGTCAGTCCTCTGGAGAGGACTGCCCAGACCACTCTGTCAAAAAGGCTGTCACGGAGTCTCCTTCTGGGGTGGCAGTTACCACCTTCTCTGTTTCCCTTGCTTGTGTACTGCTGCCCCAAGGGCAGAGGCTGCGTCTATCTAACCAGTCTCCCCAGTCCCTAGCACCTAAGTAACTGGGGGTTATCTGGATATCCCCTCAGCTACAAGAAGGGGGGTGTGTCCTCCGGGATGAAGCATGTGGAGACTAACACCTATGATGTGAAGCGGCTCTTACATGTGAAGGGGAAAAGAAACATCAGAGCCACAGAGGTAAGCCCTGCCCACTGTCGGTCGTAGGCCCGGAGCCTCCCCACCAGGTACTTCAGAATTCCTCCTGAGCGATGTCTCCTTGTCCGCAGGTGGAAATGAGCTGGGACAGTTTTAACCAAGGCGATGTCTTCTTGCTGGACCTTGGAAAGGTCATCATCCAGTGGAATGGCCCAGAGAGCAACAGTGGAGAGCGACTCAAGGTGCGGTTCTTCCCAGTATCGGCACCTTCTCCCGCTCAGGCCCACTCATGGGGCGTGCACTCTCTCAGTTGGCTTTTCCGTCATCCTTCCTTGCTGACTCCCATGAGAAGACAGACCCCTGCCTTGGAGCAGAATCTGTTTCAGAGACAGGCCAAGTGCCTAAGTCTGTGACTCACCCCGGGGTCTTAAGCCACAGAATAACTCCTGTGTCTGGGACCCAAGTCACTTCCCCCCAAAGCCAGCAAGTGCCAGGAGGTGCCCAGCGGGACTGAGTGCTTCCTTGGCCTTATTTGTTTGACAGGCTATGCTTCTGGCAAAGGATATCCGGGACAGGGAACGAGGGGGCCGTGCTGAGATAGGTGTGATCGAGGGAGACAAGGAGGCAGCCAGTCCGGAGCTGATGAAGGTCCTTCAGGACACCCTCGGCCGGCGCTCTGTTATCAAGCCTGCCGTGCCTGATGAGATCATAGATCAGCAGCAGAAATCAAACATCATGTTGTATCAGTGAGTAACTAAACCTGGCTGCTGGCTGGAAGCTGGGGTAGCGGGTGCTTTGGCTCCTCACTTTGGGTACAGGCATCTGGCTTTATCTTAGGATTTTATGTATTTATTTGAGAGAGCGCGCGTGCATGCACACGCGCACACACACACACGCAGGGAGATGGCTCGATCCCAGAACCCTGAGATCCTGACCCAAGCAGAGCCGAAAGCAGACTGAGCTACCCAGGTATCCCCAGGCATCTGGTTTTCCTTTAATCCTTTTCAAATGCAGCTTTCAGAAGGAGCTCAGTGTTCCCTACTCAAGGAGGCAGCTATCTCCTGTTCTTGTCAGCAACCCTTCCTGGTATCTTGAGGACACTCTTCCTTTACTTGGGTCTATCCATGCCCAGGGATGTAGAGGAGATCATGTTCGAGAGAGAGATGCACCCAAGTGTCCTCCCAAGAACAGAATCCATCACACTTCTGTCTGCATTCAAGCCACGCCTGTCATAAGAGGTCAAACTTCACCCAGAAACTACTGAAACGAAGCCAACAAAATACCAAATTGACTGCAAGACGCTTTTTTTTTTCTTTTCTAAGAGGGTACAGGCTAATTTTTCCCCTTTTCCAGTGTCTCGGACTCCACTGGGCAGCTGGCGGTCACAGAGGTAGCGACAAGGCCACTGGTCCAGGACTTACTGAACCATGACGTGAGTAGAGTGTGGGTGGGTGCAGCTTCTGCGGCCAGACCTGGCTTCAGAGATCTTCCTTATGGTCCTGACTGGCTGTAACCACCTCTATCCCTGCCTGCTTCAGGACTGCTACATCTTAGACCAAAGTGGAACCAAGATCTATGTGTGGAAGGGAAGAAGAGCCACGAAGACCGAGAAACAGACAGCCATGTCTAAAGCCCTGGTAGGAGCTACAGCTGTGCGGTATTGTCCACAGAATTCTGTCAGGACCACGTCAGATGTGTCCAGAGAGCCAGACGAGGCACTTGGGCTTACAACCTCACCATTACATACACGGACTTCAGTCAGACCCACAGCCTGGGGATAAATCCAGGTTTGAGAGACAATTCCCGGGTTGTTCTGAGGGGTCAGTAACGTTTGTAAGGCTCTTAGAGTGGTACCCAGCGCCTGCACCTGCTCAGTAGACATGGTTGCTGCTGTCGAAGGGGATATCACCTCATGGGCAACAGCCCTGTCCTCAAGGGGCCCAGGATGCTGTCCGGACCTACGCAGGTGAACCCAGCAGGATGCACTTACACAACAATAAATGAACAAATGAATGTGGCACAGAATCAGTGGAGTGCATGAGGGCGGCAGGAACACAGTATAGAGGATCTTGCAAAAAAAAATAATAATAATAATCATGACAGACCAAGCCGGAGATAGGCAAATGTTCCCCTCAGTCCTTTCCCTGAGGCAGGTAATTTGGTGCCTAGACATGAGTGAGTTAGCATCTGACTCCGGCTCCCACAAAGGGGCAGTCCCACCAGCTGGCTTCCAAGGGGCGAGTCACCAGATAAGCAAAGAACCCAGTGCCTTCCCTGACTGACCTGCCTTTCGGGGTGTGGGGGGTGTCTTCAGCACTTCATCCAGATGAAGGGCTACCCTGGCAGCACCAACGTGGAGACCATCAACGACGGTGCTGAGTCGGCCATGTTCAAGCAGCTGTTCCAGAAGTGGTCAGGGAAGGACCAGACCGTGGGCCTGGGGAAAACTTTTGGTGTCGGTAAAATTGGTGAGACTGAGACTGCTCCCCTGGTGGCCTTCCCACAGCAGGGACTCTCTAGAAAGGCAGACACAGATGCTCTTCACTCACTTGGCTTCTCCCAACCCCTCCTCTGCAGCGAAAGTTTTCCAGGATAAATTTGATGTGACTTTGCTGCACAGCAAGCCCAAGATCGCAGCCCAGGAAAGAATGGTGGACGACGGCAATGGGAAAGTTGAGGTAAATCAGGGATGCGCTACTCAGGGCAGGCCGCTGTGGCCCTCCTAGCCATGTTGCTGGAGAGGCCAGAGGAGCCGGTGACTGTGCTCCGCTTTGCTTTCGGTTTCACCTCTGGGAACTCAGGTGTCCTCTCTCAGGGGTGGCTGCAGTCTGCCACGCTTTCCGACAACCCCTCAGGGAAGTGAGAGGCTGCTACTCCCCCACCCCCACCGCAGGCTATCAATGACTCCACTGGCAGAAACAATCAAATTACCCCAGAGCCATGGCGGGGATGCACCTGAGCCAGAATGACCCAGTTCTCCTCAGGATTCAAATTATGCAAACTGCAAACGGGAAAAGCCCTCACAACTGGGAAAGAAGAACCAGAGGGGAAGCTGTGCTGTGGGTGGATGTTAGGGCCTCACCCGCCTGGATTCTTCATGAAGCATGGCCCCGTTCCCTTCAGGCGGCCATCTCTTCAAATAGGGACCCCATCTCTGGGAAATTGCGTCTTCTTCTGTGTCCAGGTCTGGAGGATTGAAAACCTGGAGCTGGTCCCCGTGGAGCATCAGTGGTACGGCTTTTTTTATGGGGGAGACTGCTATCTGGTTCTCTACACGTACGAGGTTCAAGGGAAGCCACACTACATCCTGTATATCTGGCAGGTAGGCCTGATGCAGGCTTTGAACTTGGGATCCCCATACTTCCTCCGGGCACCAGGCAGGGGCAAGGCATTGCCGGGACCCACTACTCCCCTCTCACCCCTGCAGGGCCGCCACGCCTCAAAGGACGAGCTGACAGCCTCGGCATACCAGGCAGTGGAAGTGGATCAGCAGTTCGACGGGGCACCTGTGCAGGTCCGAGTTGCCATGGGGAAGGAGCCCCGCCACTTCATGGCCATCTTCAAAGGGAAGCTGGTTATCTTTGAGGTGAGACCCCTCAGATAAAGTGACACCAGGAGCAGGAATACTCAGATGAGTCAGTCAGTCTCCGTATAGGAGAGGAGTGACGGAGACCAGGGCCAGGGATAGACACAGACAAGAAGGTTAACCTCTCTGAGACATTCCCAGGAATCCCAGCTGCCCGGGGCTTCAAGTCCAAACTCTGCCTAGCTAACGTTCAAGTCTTTCACAATCTGACCTGTATCACCCATGCAGGTGTGTTACTCTCAGAGCCCTAACCCACACTCCCCACCCTAGTAAAGGGGATCTCCCCATTAGACCTCACATGTGCCACAGCCCCGTCCAGCCCCGCCCCCGGATGTGCCCCTTCAAATTCAAGTCCCACTTCTTCCATGGAGCCCCTCGCGGAAGCAATACCAGTAATGTGTAATGTCATATGCTTGGTATCACACAGCCTGTGGTTAAGTCCGAGTCTTCTCATTTATTTACCAGGTTGCAAAGCCTCAGTTTTCCCATCTGTACCATAGGATAAAAAACACTTACTTCAGGGGTGCCTGGGTGGCTCAGTCAGTTAAGGGGTCTGACTCTCGATTTCAGCTCAGATCATGATCTTGGTCCTGGGAGATTGAGCCCCACATCAGGCTCCACACTCAGCAGGGAATCTGCTTGGGATTCTCTCTCTCTCTTTCCCTTTGCCCCTCCTCATGATCAGGAGCACATGCACTATCTCTCTTACTCTCTCTCTCAAATAAATAAATAAATCCTTAAAAATAAATACCTATTTCACAGTTATTATGAGGTTCCACAAAATGATACAGGTAAGGCACCCGCCACAGAGTCTAGTATATAATAAAAGTCTCAGAATGAGAGTTAATATTATTGGTACCATAATTCCAGCTCACCTGACCTCTCCCTGTTGGCATGGGAGCTCCCCAAGGTCAAAGGCAGGGTTAAATTCATCCATAATCTCTACAATGTCTAGCCCAGTGCTCTGTACACATGGTGCCCCTTAGAACTAGATTTGGCTTTTCTCTTTCTCTCTAGGGTGGGACTTCCAGAAAAGGAAATGCTGAGCCTGATCCACCAGTAAGGCTCTTCCAGATTCAAGGAAATGACAAATCTAACACCAAAGCGGTAGAGGTTCCAGCCTTTACCTCCTCCCTAAACTCCAATGATGTCTTTCTGCTGCGGACCCAGGCAGAGCACTACCTGTGGTATGGCAAGGTAAGACGGCCGGGCCTAGGGGACACATCAGCCCACTGGAGACCAGCCCTATGCCTACCTCCCTGTCAGCAAGGGTGAAGGAACTAAGGGGTAGGCTGGAGCAGTCCTCAAGATGAGTCTTTTCTTAAAGGATCTGCCAGCATTCCCCAGGATTAGAAACTCACTGACAGCATAGCTCATGCTCAGGAGATGCTCCGTAAACTTCTACACAGAGGGAGGCTGGAGAAGTCAATCTTCCACACCAGTTCACTGGATTGTAATAGGACAGGCATTAACATCGAACACAAACACTAAAAATGTGATTTTGTCCACTCAGAGTGCATCTACACTAAACGCCAGATTTGTTTTACAAATAGGTTTACCAAAATTGTCTTACAAAAGAGAACTGGACAGGGAAAATTCTCCGCACCATAGTCGTCAGGGCAATGCTAGTGAAAACCACAGAGATGCTGTCATATGCCTAGCAGAATGTCTAAAAAAAAAATTGACAATATCAAGTGCAGGTGAGGAGGCCGGGACTCGGGGCATTGCTGGTAGGAATGCAGATCCAGCCTTTGGAAAACGATTTGACGGTTTCTTATAAAACACACACCTATGATTCAGCAATCCCATGCCTAAGCATTTATTTACCCATGAGAAAGAAAAATCTGGGGCGCCTGGGTGGCTCAGTGGGTTAAGCCGCTGCCTTCGGCTCAGGTCATGATCTCAGGGTCCTGGGATCGAGTCCCACATCAGGCTCTCTGCTCGGCAGGGAGCCTGCTTCCTCCTCTCTCTATGCCTGCCTCTCTGCCTGCTTGTGATCTCTCTCTGTCAAATAAATAAATAAAATCTTTAAAAAAAAAAAAAAAAAAAAAAAGAAAGAAAAATCTACCTTCACACATATATACATGGCACCTTTATTCATCATGACCCAAAATTGGAAGCAATCCAAATGAAGAATGAAAAAAACAGTGGTATATTCCTATGGTAGGCTACTACTCAACAACACAAAGAAAAGAGCTGTTGATCCTCACAAGGGTGAATCTCAAATGTCCTCTGCTAAGTGAAGGAAGCCAAACTCAGAGGCTATCTAGTGTATGATTCCAATTATAGCATTCCAGAAAACGCAGACTGCAGTGATGGAGAACAGATTGGTGGTTGCCAGAGGTTAAGGATTTGGGGAGGGTCTGAAGACAAAGGGGGAGTAGCCTGAGGGAATTTTGGCAGGGCTGAGGCAATGTTCTCTAGCTGCATTTTGATGGCGGTAACATGATTCTCTGTGTTGGTCAAGAGTCGTAGAACTATACACCAACAAGAGTGAATTTTTTTTAATGTAATTTAAATAATAAATTTAAATTTTTTCTCTTAAAAAAAAAAAGTCAAAAGGAGGTGCTGAGATTCCAACCGAAGGTGAAACAAAGGGGCCTCTGACCAACATCCACTGTGGGTTTCAGAGTCCAGTCCTGTTCTTTGCCACCATGCTGTTCTCCTCTCCCTATCGCTCCTTTCCCAGCACTAGACCAAACCTAGCTCCCTATCCTGAGCCACTGGCCTGGTAGCTGATCCAAGTACACTCAAGGTCCCCCCTCCCCAACATCAATGTGTCTGTGTGCGACTAACATGTGTGCTCCCCTCATCCCCCTCTCAGGGGTCTAGTGGAGATGAGCGGGCGATGGCCAAGGAGCTGGCCAGCCTTCTCTGCGAGGGCACCGAAGACACTGTGGCCGAGGGCCAGGAGCCGCCTGAGTTCTGGGACCTGCTGGGAGGGAAAACTGCCTATGCTAACGACAAAAGGTATGGGAACGCGGTGTCACCTCCTACGGGCTCCCCCTGCCGCCCGGGTTTGTGAGCTGCACAAACTCTAGAATGCCTTAGAGTTTGAAAACCCTGATTTCTGGATGAACCACTGAACGCTACCCCTGAAACCAATAATGAAGTATATGTCAACTAACTAGAATTTAAATTTTAAAGAAACACATGATTTCTCAGTAGCTCAGTTCCTCTAAACAGACTGTATTGCAGACTACAACAGGAAATACTGGACGTGCAGCCTCGTCTCTTTGAATGTTCCAATAAGACTGGGCGGTTCGTTGTCACGGAGATCACAGACTTCACCCAGGATGACCTGAACCCAGGTGATGTGATGCTCCTGGATACCTGGGACCAGGTAAGACACAGCCAGAGAGCTTGGAACAAGTGACAAACCAAACATCTGTCAGTGGTAACCGAAGGAAGAGCCCACTTCTTGCCAGGGATGGGGAGAACAGAGTGTTGTTTGAAACTGACCACCCTGGGGAAATCAGTCCATCTTATCATCATGCACTTCTTTTTCTTAGAAGAGACAGCGACAGGCTCCATACTCAGTGATGGGCCTCTTAGGGAATATAGGGCCCTAAAGGGGAGATCTCCAAGGCAACCACTCCCTAACACCCTATTTTCCTCAGCTCAGCTCAGCAAACATACTCAGCACTTCCTCCGTGCTCCAGTAACCGTGGTGGGGGTAGGGTCACCAAGGTGAAGGGGCCCTGCTCTCAGAGTCGACAGGCTGTTGGAGGAGCTGGACAGAAAAATCTCATTTTGCTATGATGGAGGTATGGTGCCATGGGAGCACAAATTAGGGGCACTCAACATAGTTTAGGGGTTCAGAGAAAAGTTCCTAGAGGAGACGGCTTCCAGGCTGAATCTCAAAGGACGAGTGGGCATTAATCAGGTAGAGAGAGCATCCTGGGCAAAGGAAATCGCACAAGTAAAAAGCAAGGCATGGAATAGTCTAGTATACAGGGAACTACCGACAATATCATCAGACCATAAGACAGAGTAAAAGAGTTCGAGATGAAGCTAAGAAGTAGGTATGAGCCTTACCTACCATGTCGAGTTTGAATTTTATCGTGGAAAGCAGGTGAATGACACAGTCCCTGTGCTTTCGACAGATCACCCTGCAAAGTGTGGGAGAGGAGGGACAGGGGGGAAGCGACAGAAGAATATGTACTGGGAGGCCAGTCAGAAGAGCACCATAACAGTCGAATAAGAGGAATAAGGGCCACTTCGGGCTGCACAGGGGCCGTGGGGTCAGGATGGAGGGAATGGTGACACATATGACAAATGTGTAGGAGGGAAACAGCTGGCCTTGGTGACTCGCTGAGTACAGGGGCATCGAGGATGGCTCCCGTGTTACTGCCCTCGGTGACTGGGTGAATGGCATTGACCAAGAATGGAGACACAGACACAAGTCTAGAAAAGAAGAGCTACATTTGGGGGTTCTGTTTGAGCTTCCTAGAGACAGCGGCAGCAAGGGGGTGATATCTTGCAAGAAGCTGAGTTCAGGAAGCTGAAGTTCAGTGAGAGCTCATGACTGGACATGCAGATTTAGGAGATACATGCTTAATTAACATCATGAACACCAAGCTGATTCTGGGAAAAACCTTTCTCTGCTGAACAAACGAGGCTGGGAAAGTTCTCTGAGGCTGTGGTTCGCTGAGCAGGGAAAGGAAGGGCACTTAGTACTTAGTCCTTGCTAAAAGCCCATTAAGACACTCCCTCTACCACAACAGGTGTTCCTGTGGATTGGGGCTGAGGCCAATGCCGCAGAGAAGGAGAAAGCCCTTGCCACGGCCCAGGAATACCTGCGTACTCACCCCAGCGGCCGGGACGCCGACACACCGATCCTGATCATCAAACAGGGTTTTGAGCCTCCCATCTTCACAGGCTGGTTCTTGGCCTGGGACCCTAATATTTGGAGCGTAAGAACAGAGAGAATGGGGGAGACTTCCCTACTGCCCAGGAGCTCAGCACGAATAGCTCAGTGGGAAGGCGGGGTACCGCCTCAAAGGCTGAATAAATCCAGGACCACATTTCCCCGACCCTCCTCCACTCCCTTCTCTTCTCCGCCCACCATGGCACTAGGTCCAGTTAGAGAATTCCCAGCTTGTCTCAGGACTAAGCCGTGGATGGAAGTAACCAAAGGTTGAGAGAGTTTATCCACACACATCTCCTTTCTGAGCTTTACAACCACCCTGACAGCTGGGGCAAACGTTGCTTCCCATGTTAAAAAGGTGGACGCTTAGAGGAAAGGGGATTTGTCCAAAGTCACAATTAGGAAGAAGCCAGGTTTTCTGACTCCTAGTCAACTGCTCTGTCTTCTTCGGTCTTGTATGGAGGATTAGGGAACACCAGCAAAAAATGCAGATCAGGTTGAAGGATCTTCTGACCTGGCGTGGACCCAGAAAGGGGTATTTTCTTTTCTGCTTAGCCCTGCAATGTCTTCTGATTCCCCAGCTACTTTGCTTTCCTCAAGGGTAGACGAGGCCCGAGATGTCCCTCCCCCTGAAAGCAGCACCTCGTCCTGTCTTGTCTCTTTTGTTTCAGGCAGGAAAATCCTATGAACAGTTAAAAGAAGAGCTGGGAGATGCCGCTGCTATCACGAGAATCACTGCTGTGAGTTGCATTTGCTCTTGGACAGAAGCAAGTCACACAGGCAGCTGGAGCCAGGGAGAAACCGTAAACGCTACAGACACAGCACAGGCGAAACCCTATCGTGTCCTCCTTAGTATCACTCTAGCGGACTATTTGGATTTGAGGTCGTTTTAATCAATAGCAAAGCAGGCCTCAAAGCCAAGTTCCTCGTTTTACTGCCTTCCAGAATTTAGAATAGACTTGTTGCTTAAAAATATATATCTATCATATACATATATAAGCATAAATATAAATAATTATATATCATATATATATATTTAAACATAAATATAAATAATTATAACCTAGGAATCACCTAGTATTATGGACTGAATGATTTTGTCTTCCAAAATTCGTATGTTGAGCCCCTAGCCCCTAATGTGATGGTATGAGGAGGTGGGGCCTTTAGGGCGGAATTAATGCCCTTAAAGGGAGCGCTATGAGCACTTGCTGTCTTGCTCTCTGCCATTTGACGACACATTGGAAAAATGCCACCCACAAGCCAGGAAGCAGACACCTTAATCTTGGGCTTCTAAGCCTCCAGAACTATGAGAAATGAATGTTTGTTGTTTAAGCTAAAAAAACAAACAAACCAAAACTACAAAAACTAATTTTACTATTCAGTTCCATCATTCAGGACAGACTAAACTGACTAGTAGTATTTTTCATAAATAAGAAGCTTCTAGGGGTGACAGGGTGGCTCAGTGGGTTAAAGCCTCTACCTTTGGCTCAGGTCATGATCTCAGGGTCCTGGGATCGAGCCCCAAGTTGGGTTCTCTGCTCGATGGGGAGCTTGCTTCCCCCTCACTCTTGCCTACCTCTCTGCCTGCTTGTGATCTCTTAAAAAAAAAAAGAAGAAGAAGCTTCTAAGCCAAATGATGTGCTTACCAGTTTCTGACTGTGAAGTCCACAAAAACTCAGGCCATTGCCCCTACTCCAATGGTGAAAAGAAGGGCAGCCTCTGGCCAGGAAGCCAACAGTTCTTTAGCCTTAGGATGAACACATTGTAGTGGGCTCCATCCTTTGTGCTCTACAAACTTCGGATTCCAAAGCTAATGGCCAGGTAGTATCTTTAAAATGCATTTAACAACAGGATGTCTTCTATTTGAAGTCATTTAAAGGCTGGAAATGGAGAGCCTAAACACCGGGCCAAAAGAAGGTCTGTGATCACAGTACTGAAATGAGATTTAAGCACAGTGTTAAGCCCAACTGCTTATACAGGATTTACCCTAGACTTACTGAATCAGCATTTCCCAAGATCTGACCCCCAAATCTGAATATTTTAGATCCCAGATGATTCTGACAGGCAGCCAGCTTTAGGGAATCATTGCTCTAAAAGATGATCACAAAGGGGGCAGTGGTATCAGCCGGAATGTTAAAAATTATGCACACAGAACTTGAACTGCACAGACCCTGAACAGTCTTTCATCCTGCCTACGTTCTTATCTTACCTAGGACATGAGGAATGCAACCCTCTCCCTGAATTCTGAGCTAAAATATTACCCTCTAGAAGTCCTGTTGAAAAATCAAAATCAGGAGCTGCCTGAGGATGTGAACCCGGCCAAAAAGGAGGTGAGTGGCTAAAGGAATTGTGTCTACTGGGAGTGGAGCTCTCCACGAGGGAAGCACCCGTCTCGGCACGTGGCCTAGAACAGCTCTGGCACATTGCTGGCCCCTCAACAGACATCTGAGCTACCCAGTGGCTCGAGACAAAAACTCAGGACTCCTTTTTTCCTCACCTCCCATATCAGTCCATCAGCTAGCCTCTGTCCATTCCTCCCCGTCTCTCTGCTGTCCAGCCATCACAGACTACTGCAATAGTCCCCCAACCAGCTTCCACCCCTGTCCCAACCATCAGTTCTCTCCCCGCATAACAGCCAATAGGCTTTTAAAGCAGACAAAACTGTTCTGTTCAAAACACCTCCAAAGGCTTCCCACTGCAAACAAAAGAATCTAGAATCCTTTCTGTAGCCTCCGTGGCTCTACACAATCTGGCCCACACCCACCTCTCTGATGTCATCTCATAGACCACTGGCCTCTACTCACCACCCTCTAGCCAGGGGCTCCCTTTCTGTCTTAAACACACTCCATCCCAGCCTTTGAGCCTTTACACCGCCTGAGATCCTTCTTCTCACAGATCATCAGAGGTCAGGTCCTGGCTCCGAAGCTGCCTCCCTCCAGACAGCCCTCCCTGACCACCCTAACACTGCTTAAGAGCAAGGACCTTCTCTATCTTGTTGACCTCCACGTTCTCTGCTTTTCAGCACCTCAAACAGTGCCTGGCATCTAGTATGCATTCTTGAAGTTTTGGTTAAATGAATTAGCACTTTGATACTGAATGAATGCACTAATTTTCCCCCTTGAAGGAATTGATTTGGGAAGGATCTCTGGGTTTTGTACAGTGTCTTAGCTAACCAACTCTTAAGGATCTGGACTACAACTTTCTTGAAAACAGAAGCCATATCTTAATAATTTTACTCAGATAGCAACTATTCAGTAAGCTTCAATAAATAAATGTTAGGAGAATTTTATGCTCTGAACAAGATCCACGTGATCATGCATTCAAAAATGTCTGAATAAAAAATGGTAGATAAGGGCACGAGGCAAGGAAAACCAACTCTCAATTTAGTTCTCCATTCAGCCAAAACCTGATGTCTAGGATTCATCATATATAACCCAAGTCTTGTTCTTTTGGCAAAAAACTGGTACCAGGTGGGATACGAGAGCAGCAAATCTGGTCAGCTTCTACTCAGGCCAAAATGGGACTCCACAACCCAAGAACCCTCCAGTGAATAATTTAAGTGCATTACACCCTTTCTGAAAAATTCCTTCTTCCCCCTTCAAAGATGCTCTCCTGGCTCCACCTTCCCCCACCCTGTTGTCATTGATGGGTGCCATGTCTTCCTAACTAGAGACTGTTTTCTCTCCTAGAATTACCTCTCTGAACAGGATTTTATTTCTGTGTTTGGCATCACAAGAGGGCAATTTGCTGCTCTGCCTGGCTGGAAGCAACTCCAAATGAAGAAAGAAAAGGGGCTTTTCTAAGGCAAGAAGCTCTATGCCTATTGTAAGACCACAGAAGAGAGCAGAAAGAGCCAGTAACAGGAAAGAACTCATCTACCAATTTCTGCCTAATAGCCAACTACTTAATTTAGATCCAGTAAGGTCTGCACATCGCAGCATGTTCTCCATCTTTCTCACCCCTGCTTCCGTAGTTGTTATAGACCTAAAATGTTAACTACCCACTTTTTGATTTTTGTGGCCTTCCAGCTAAAGTCTCAGCAGAAAGTACCACAACTGCAAGAATCCAGAGAAGTCAGAAAAGAAAAAAGAAAAAAAAAAAAACCACGAAAAAAGAAAACAGCTAAGTTTAAAGTTTTTAATAATGGGCCAAGGACATAAGGTTGTTTTAAATTGTAAGATCGGTGTTTGCAAAATCTATTTAACCCACCAATCACTGAAGGTATTTCTACTATCTACCCCAAGGGCGAAATCCAAATGCTCAGATCTGTATGTACCAGAGATTTTTAACTTTTCAAATAAAAATATCTGTATGTGCAAATGTAGTTCAGTATTTGGGGTTTGCCTGTTATGGTAATTATTTTGTGATGCAGGGAGAAACGTCTCCGTACTGGGGTAGGCAAGAGGCACTGCTGAGTGAGTTCTCTGGGGTAACTGGACCACTGTGAAGTCCTGTTTCTGGCACAAGAATGCCAAAATCTGCCTTACAGCTGTCCAGGAAACCTCAGTCCCCACCCATCTCTACCCCATTATCCAAAAGAGAAATAGGGCCATGTGTTATTAATTTCAGTAACGAGGCCAGAACCAGTGTGCACACCACAGCGGAGAGCCTTCAAAGCACACCATAGAGAGCAACACATGAACCACATTTTCCAGACAGCTCAAAGTTTGAGTCAACAACTCCCAAGGAATCCATGTGGCAGAAGTAACGTACTGGGGAACACACCAGGAGAGAAGCACCGTCCAGGACATCACAAAGTGTGCAGGGTCACAGAAGCACTAAGATCAACGGGGTTCGACATTTTAGGGTTACCATGATAGGTCTTGGCTGAAGGAAGCAGCAGCCCAACGGCTTACATCTGTCCTTCCAGATACTGGCGGCCCCTTCAGTAAGTTCCCCCTGCTGTTTTCCACAACCTGGCACAAGTCAGGCACAAAAAAAGCTAAACCCAGCACTACACAAACAAGGAAAAGATTCTACTCTTCTTAATTATATAGCAATTTTATTTAAAGCTTTACTCATCGAGTCTGTCATTTCTTTATAAACACCAATGAAAAACAACTTCTGGGTTTGAAGAGGCTTAGGAAATAACTTCTTTTCGTAATGATGTCCAAAGCTGAGGAGAAACCTTTCCTCCAGCCAAGTCTTTGGAACCTATTCAGCTTCTGCTGCCTCTTCGCCTTCTCCACATTCAAACCGCACGAAGTCCACGACAGACACCCCTTGAGGCTGCACATACTGTCCCAGCGTGATGGAGGGATCCAGCAAGTATGGCTGGGACAGCATCTTGGTTTCTGCCTCCCCGCCAGGCTCATCATCCAAAGAGCCAACAGAGAGAGGGGCCATGCCCACCACATGCTGCCCCAGGCGGCGGCCCAGGTCCTCCAGGCCTGCTCTGCACTCAGATGTCTCGCAGATGACCAAGGCCCCATACTTCCCCAGCACCAGGTTGTGGAGCGACGGGCTGTGCATTGCTCCATGGACGTAAGAGCCAACGTAGAACCCAGCTGGCACCTTCACCCATGCGGCTCGTTTAAGAGTCATGTTTTCTCCCAGTTTCCCTATAAAAAAGAAAAAACAAGTAACACACTTCTAGAACATGACACCCGTGGCAGTTACCAAAATATGCATAGAAGTGGCCGAGTCTGGGAGATAGACCTCTCTCCCCACATTTACACTATGAACATGGAGAGATACCATTTGCCATTTAAAGAAGAAAAGGTATGTGGGAGGAGTGCGTAGGGGTGGGAGAAATAAAGAACACCCTTATGGAACACCAACAACGTGCCACACTGGTACTTAAAAACAGGCTATGGTGTCCCACAGACCCTGGATTTGGGTCTCAGTTCCGCCCCTTACCAACTATGTAACCTTATGCAAGTGACATAACCCCATTTATGAATTTATCAAGCCTTTGTTTCCTCCTCCACAACACAGAGATGACATCACTTAAAATAACTTGAAAGCAGGGTTCTTAGGAGACATAAAGTAACATATGTAAATGCACTTAATTACATGACCTAGCACAGAGCGGCACGCACATGCCAGCTATCATTACTATGTTTGATGTAGGCTTAGAAAGTTCGAGCTACCGCCCAAGCTCACACAGCTACTACGTGCCAGAGCTGGAAGCAAAGCCCGCATCTCACTCCAAAGCAATTAGGTGTTTTCTTCCCCTGAAATTACCATCCCTCCCGAAAATCACCATAACTGACACAACTCTTCGTCATCCATGATAGCAGGAAAAAGTCCACAACTAAAAGCCCCAGAAAACCCAAACCCCATACCATCAGATAGTTTCAACTTCCTCTCAGCAAAAATAAAAATTCTCAGTTTTGTTTTTTTTTTTTAAGATTTATTTGAGAGGGACAGGGAGCAAGAACAGGGGGAGGGGCAGAGGGAGAAGTAGGCTCCCCACTGAGCAGGGAGCCCGATGTAGGGCTCGACCCCAGCACCCTGGAATCATGACCTGAGTGGAAGGAACTTAACCCACTGAGCCACCCAGTTGCCCCCAGCATTGTTTTTAAGAATCAAATATAATTCCAGGTTTCCCTGTCTCCTCAGGATGCTATCCTCTCTAACATAAGTCCAAATAAGCCAAAGGGTAGGAAAGAGGTTAGGAGACCCCAAAAGGTCTAGGTAAATATCCCTGCATTAGCCATAATTATATCTAAAAGTCTTAATAAGGGAAGAAATCTTAAAACAATTCAAAGCATTTGAACAGTAGTTAATTCTCAGAAATTGACAAGGCTGAAACACCCAGTTCTTCCAGAATTTCTTAATAAGTCCCATTCGCAGCTGTCTGCCTGGCTTCTCAGCCATGACTCACTAAAACATCATACATATTTCAAGATAACCTGATAAAAACAGAATTGATGCCTTGACTGGAAACGATGGATGAGCAGTAAATTCCCAGCAAGCTCTAACCCAGCCCTACTTCCCTCCTTCCATCAAGGACACGTAGGAAGAAAGCAAAATTCCCACTCGTTCTGGCACAATGATCCAGCTATGGTTCCTGTGCCCAGTGGTTCTGAAAGAATAAACCTTCACAAATTCAGGATCAGATTTTTTCTAAAAAAGAGCTCAAATTCCTACACATGATGCCCCCAAATATTCCTGGATCCCTTTATAAAGAAGGTGAGATGACTTCTGATGTAGTGTGTCTCCCACAGTGTATAGAGAGGTAGTCAACTGGAAGAAGTCAAAAGCCATCCCTGCCTAAAGACACGCTTTGGTCAGCCTGCAGAGTGAGGAAAATCATTTTAATTAGCTGCAAACATCTAAAAACTGAACTTTTTACACAGAAAGCTAAATTCTTTTGAAGGAATTTAAAAATTCTGACCATGCTGGGACCCCAAGGTAACAACTGGCTAGAGCCTGGTGGCAGTTTCCTTCACCAGTGTGAAAGTCTCAGGGAGCCTACTGCTAATGTCTAACGCACAACACAACCCACTTCTCACATTCATATTTCCTGACCCTTGTGGGCACATGAGCTTGCAATTCCTGATCAGGTGTGGAGGAATATCAAAGATACCAGGAGGTCCAGTTCATGATTTCCAGTTCCCACAATCCTTACAAATACTCACCAATTGCTAAGGCTAGCTGATCCTTGAGACAGCCTTCTCTCTCAGGCCCAGCTGGAAGTTCAGAAAGCTCAGAGGAATTCAAGAAGCCCTAAGTGCACACACACACAAAAAGAACAAATCTGTTCTGTCCCACTTAAATTACAAAGAGACTAGGCAAAAATAGTGTGTTTCTCAAAAAATGATTTAAGACACCTAAGTATAAATGAATGTTTTGGGGCTTTTTTTTTTTTTTTCAGATTTATTTATTTGAGAGAGAAAAAGCATTAGCGAGCAAGCCTGCACAAGGGAGGGGCAGAGGGAGAGGAAGAGACTCTCAAGCAGACTTCCTGCTGAGTGCAGAGCTCAACGCAGGGCTTGATCCCAGGAACCTGACATCATGACCTGAGCTGAAACCAAGAGTCAGACACTTAACCCATGGAGCCACCCAGGTGCCCCTTAAATGAATGTTTTCATTAAGCCAAAGATGTTACAAATTTATTAAGAGTCTATTTTTATCTCTATTATATTCTATCACTGTACCACCCCCAATTCTATCTCAATCCCATCCTCTGGCCTAACTTCTTCGACTGTAGTTTCCAAGAAATCAGGAACAGTATTTTCAAACAATCATAAAATGTTAAAGCTAAAAGACTGGTTGGATAAACCGTGGCACAGCCACATAATGGAAAAACTATGCAGCTGGGAAAAAGAAAAGATCTGCACGAGCTGCTACAAAGTATTTCCAGGTTATATTATTAAGTGAAAAAAAGCAAATTAAAAGAGTACATATCTAGGGGCAACTGCATCAGGCTCCACACTCAGTGAGGAGTCTGCTGGAGATTCTCTCTTTCTCCCTTTGCCACTTTCCCCGTGCGTGCACACTCTCTCTCTCAAATAATAAATCCTTTAAAAAAAAAAAAAAAAGAGTATGTGTGTGTGTGTATATATATGTATATATTTTTTTAAGATTTTATTTATTTATTTGACAGACAGAAATCACAAGTAGGCAGAGAGGCAGGCAGAGAGAGAGGAAGGGAACCAGGCTCCCTGCTGAGCAGAGAGCCCGACACAGGGCTCGATCCCAGGACCCTGGGATCATGACCTGAACTGAAAGCAGAGGCTTTAACCCACTGAGCCACCAGATGCCCCAAGAGTATGTATATATTATGCCATCATTTGTGTAAGAAAGATTTATATAAATATGCTATTTTTGCAAAAAAAAAAAAAAAAAAAAAGACTTAAAGGATACCCAAAACCAATGAAACTAGTTATCTACTGGAGTGGACAAGAATAAGGTAGAAAGGAGAGAAGGAGGAGTGAGACTTCTTTGTATGTATGCGTGTGTGCATGTATGTTACAGCTTTAACTTTCAGAATCTTGTTAATGTTTTACATTTTTTTTTTAACTTATTTGACAGACAGAGATCACAAGTAGGCAGAGAAGCGGGCAGAGAGAGAGGAAGGGAAGCAGGCTCCCTGCTGAGTAGAGAGCCCAATGCGGGGCTCGATCCCGGAATCC